TGAAGATGAAAACAACCCTGACATTCCACCTCACGCCAGAAAGAATGGCTGCTATCAAGAAATCAACCAATAACAAATGCTGGTGGGGGTGTGGGGAGAAAGGAACCCTTCTCCATTGTTGGTGGGAGTGAAGATTGGTCCAATCACTGTGGAAATCAGTATAGAGATACCTCAAAAAACTAGGATTAGAGGTCCCATTTGACCCAGCTACTCCTCTGCTGGGTATCTTCCCAAAAGAATTAAAAGAAGCATACCACATCGATAGATACACACCCGTATTTATACCGGCACAGTTTGTAATAGCTAAAACTTGGAAACAACCCAATTGCCCATCAACTGGAAACTGATAAAGAATTTCGGGGTTTTTTTTAATGGAGTACTGCTCAGCGATAAAGAACAAGAAACTAGAGTTATTTATAGCTAAATGAATGCACATTGAGGCCATACTCAAGTGAAATAAATAGGACACACATATGTAAATACTGAATAGTTTCTCTGGTGTGAAAAACTAAAGGTATAAATAAGGATCAAAATGTATAATTGACAATGTGAAATAAGAAGAAAAGGTGTAAAGGAGTAGGGGAAGAAGGAGGGGTAGGGGAAAGTAAAGAACAGACAAGAAAAAATATGAGAAAAGGAAAAAATGGAAACCAAGTCTTTGTAAATAGGAAAGGGTGGAGGGGCTGAAGGGAGGGCAGGGGAATGGGGACAAAATAAGAACCAAGATACATCATGTAAAGGTACAAGATCCCAATGATAAATGTAACTGTATTGTATAGGTAAAATGTACCAATAAACTTAATAGAAAAAATTTTTTACAAAAACAAAAAACACACAGGGAAGGGGGAGATCCATTGCAATCTTTCAAGATCACATTTTGAGAAGCAGTAGAATATCCTCGCATTCCACCAGGTAAAGGAAGAAGGAGGGGGAAGAGTGGCTTGTGTGAGTGACACACAGTAAGCAAAGGGAAGTAGGGCGCCAGATCTTATAGGGCCTCTCAAGCTCACACATGTACTTTATATTTTATCTAAATGTAACATTGGTAGATTTGAAAGGTTTTTAAGAAGAATAAAGTGGTCTGTGTTTTGAAAGGACAATTCTAGCTACTTGAAACTATACTGTGTGAGGATAAGAACAAGAAAATGGATATCAATGAGATGATTGCAGTAGTTCAAGAAAATTATGATAGTAGAAATGGTGGTGCATAGGCATTTTCTTAGCCACTTAAGGCTGTTATAACAAAAATACTATCCATTGAATAACTTTATCAACAAAAATTTATTTCTCACAACTCTGGAGTTTGGCAAGCTCAAGATCAAGGTGCAGAATTTTCAAAGTCTGATGAGAGCCCATTTCCTAATTCATAGACTCTCCTCTCTCTCTCTCTCTCTCTCTCTCTCTCTCTCTCTCTCTCTCTCTCTCTTTCTCTCTCTCTCTGGAAAAGGACCAAGTAATCTCTTTGGGGTCTCTTTTACAAGGGCACTAATCCCACATGAGGACATCATCCTCATGACTTGATCACTTCTCAAAGACTCCCACCTCAAAAACAACCACATTTGGGATTAGATCTCCATATGAATTTTGGAGGGAAACAAACGTTTAATCTACAACAACCATTTTTGTATAGTATTTTGAGAAATCAACACAGCAAAGTGTGAAAGGATGAAAAGCACCAATGACACCCAGGTTTCTGACCTACAACTGGGTAATTTGGGTACCTTTTACTGAAATGAGAAATACCAGAAAGAACCAATATGTTTGGAGTGAGTTCCATTTTGGACCTCTTGCACTGATTCATTAGGTAAGTGGAAATGTAGAGTTAAGTTTGATAATTTGAGTTAGGGGTTCACAGGAAAGATGGAAATAAAAATTTTAAATACTACACAAGACTACTTGGGAAATAAGATAAGGAAAGGATCTGAGGCCTATTATTATTAACTTCTACTAGTACATGTTGGTAAAACAGAATAGTGATTTTGGGGGGAGATGGATGGTAAAGACATAAAATATTTCAATCATCACCTCCCTCTTCTTTCCCTCCCCTCTCCTACTGATCCCTTTTCCAGTTCCCAAACATCTCTCCTTGTATTTTATTCATGATCATTCTTTTAATAGCTGTTGTATGAACCAAAAATTGACCATTGGCTGTGGCAACACAAGGCCATTTTTAACATTCACACTAATGGCTTTAATACACTGGTGATAACAAAAATCAACAAAAGAGGGGCTGGGGATTTAGCTCAGTGGCACTGTGGCTGCCTCACAAGTGCAAGGTCCTGAGTTTGATCCCCAGTACCAAAAAAAGTCAGTATAAGTGATCCTGAGAGAAAATAAAAGTACAAAAAGTCAAAGTATGAAGTAAACAAAAATGCTCAGGATTTTTCTATAAAACTGTATGGCCTTCCTAGGATTGACAGGAATTTTCTTTTAGAAATGGGACCTACTGAAGTATGTGTATAGGCTGAAAGGATTAATCAAGTAGAGAGGAAAAGTTGATGATTCAGGGGAGAGAAGGAATCATTTCAAGGACAAGAACCTTAATGCACAAGTAGAGAGGACGACCCTGGTTGAGAATCTCCCGCAGATCTAATGGCTATGATTATAGTGTTATCCCATCTACATGGTATTAACTCAAAGGATCTTGACCTCACTGGACCAATTCTACTATTGACCTCCTCTTGAACCTGTTCTGTGGGATAATTTGAAATCACATGTAAAAGGACCATAGTCCCCGAGTAGAGTTATTTAGTGCTTCCATTGATTCTGTCATCTTCTCAACATCCCTTCAATAAAGTTCTCTTCTGCTTTTATCACTAAGAGTCCATTTCTCTTACTCAGAACTAAGATATACACCACAGAATTTCAGATAATCCCATTTTCCCAATAGCCTAAGACATTACTAGGGCCTACAGAAATTAATTTACTATATATCATAGTGTTGGTTAATGATAGATTCTACTACAAGTGATTCTGACTCTTCATCACAAGGTCAGAGACCATCAGAAAGAAGGTATCTTCATCCTTCGAAATAATGTAAGTTAACAAATCTACCTGATACAGCAGGTCAAATGCAAACCAAAGAAATCACAAGTATGAACTTAAAGAATGTTCAGTTTTATAAGACCAAATTCCAACACCCATTCTAACACTTGGATCACTGTAGGCACTCAATATATTGTATATTTTATAATATATAGGTATTATAATGTATGTGCACAAAACACATTATACCTTCAATTCAGAATTCTTATACATTGATTCAAAGAACTCAATAAATATAATTTTATAATATCAATTTCTCCTTTCAAAACACCTTGTTCTTCACACATTTCCAACATTAAGCAGCACACTATCATTTTAGATATAGATCAATAAATATTCTCTGCTGGCATAATTTACATATGGTTCTGTTAGTGAAGATAATAATGGGAAAGATGCTCATATCTTTATCTTACTAGCTTTTTTAGAGTGTCACTGACTTTTGGGGGGGGGCGGTACTGGGGATCGAACTCAGGACCTTGCGCTTGCAAGACAGGCGCCAGAACCACTGAGCTAAATCCCCAGCCCTGTCACTGGCTTTTATATGCCTTCTTTTAAAAATATTTCTAAAAGTTTTACCCTAATTATCTAAACTTTACTGAAACATATGTATTTGGTGGTGCTCAAATGCCTGAAATCAAGCTAGAAAAGCAAAATTATATTTCAACTACCTCTCTACTGGAGTAGTCAAACACTATCCGGGATATGGATCCTTGAAAAATCTTAGAGGTTTCCATAGATAAATTTAAGGAGCTCATCCTGCACCACTTCACAAGCAGGGCAACTACACTTACTATCATGGGATGATAATATCTCTCCACAGCACTTTCTTCAAAGCCTTGGCTGCATCCTTATTCCAGAGAGTATAAATCAGTGGATTCAGAGTGGGAATAATGATGCTGTAGAATACAGAACCAATTTTGTATTACAACGGAGTACGCTGGGACCTAGGCCTCATGTATGAGAAGATGCACCAAACCAGAGGAAAACCACAGTGAGGTGAGAGCTACAAGTGGCAAAAGCATTCCTCTTGCTGCTGGCTGAGCGCATCTGGATGACACAGTGGAGGATGAAGCCGTAGGATGTAGAAACCAGGATGATGGGGAGGAGAAGTATGATGCTGCAGAAGTACACTGTGGTCTCATAAACAGTGATGTCACCACATACCAACTTCACAACTGCTGGCCACTCACAGCAGAAGTGTTGAATCTTCTGAGATCCACAGTAAGGGAAATGCATCACGATTACTGTGTGAATTAGGGAGTTAATGACTGCTCCCAACCATGACACAACAGCCAAAATCAGTCCCACCTTTCTGCTCATGAGCCCAGTATAACGCAGTGGATGACAGATGGCAACATAGCGGTCATAGGACATGAGAGCCAGGAGAAGACACTCAGCACCACCCAGAGACAAGTACAGAAGTGCTGGGTTGCACAGCCCACAAAGGAGATGGACTTCCTGCCAGATAGGTAGTTGGCAGCCATCTTGGGGATGGTTGTGGAGACGTGCATCAGGTCCATGAGGGAGAGCTGGCTGAGCAGGAAGTACATGGGTGTGTGAAGCCAGGGATAAGCACAGATGAGGAGAATGGTGAGGGTGTTGCCACTCACTGCAGTAAGGAAGACTACCATGGTGAAAGAGAAGAGAAAAAGGCAGGACAGGGAGTCATCAAAAAGCCCTTCAAGGATAAAGTCTTCCAAAGAAGTCTAATTCCTCTGCCACAAGTCTACTTTCTCAATCTCTGGAGAAAGAGTGGAGATTAAGTGGTTTATAAGAAATACTGTGATCCAGCATATGACACAGTAGACACTTGTAAAGAGGGCTCTTTCTTCTTACTTCAGAGCATTCAACAGCTGTAAATGTTGAAATAACCTTTCTTTTTAAAAAATCTAGAATTTTTTTCACAAATATGACCACTTTGAAATTCCAAAATATCTAGATGCTACGAAGTGTCAAACTTCAAGTCTCTGGTCATTATGGGAAATATATATATATATATGCACATAAATATTTATTTATACGTAACTATATACAAGTACATGTATGATTATTATTTGCATGTATTGTGTATGTATGGTTTGTTCAGTTTTGTTAATTTGATCAGTCAGGATCCAACCAGAGAATCTGAACCACTAAGATATATCTCTATGTACACATAGTGTGATGGATTGTGTTACACAACTTTGACCCTACACAATTCTGGAAGAAGTTTAGGTGGCTTATGTAGGGATGTTACCTATGTGTCCAAGGAGCAAGCAATCAAGAAGGGAAAACAGATACAGAGATGGACAGATAAACTGGAACCCACAACCAAGATCTATAACTCCACAAGGGCAGACTGAAACCCATGTCAGTCTTTGTTGTCTCTGGAATTGGTTATGTAGGTATCTTGCAGGAGCTGGGGACCTTCTTAGTGGAGCTGAATGTATACACCTGGCCCACATATCAAAGAACCCAGGGGGCAATCCTGGGGAAGACAGAGCACCTGCTACCCTGAAGTCATTCACCGGATCAGCAGGAGCACAAATAAATACAAAGCAGCTGCTTCCCTCTGGCCTCCAAATCTTTCAGGAATCTCCTCTGGCCCACCTTATGAAGAAATGCACAAAAATGGGAGTTCAGGGAAATGTAGTTCTTAGCCAAGCAGACATATCACAAAGCCACCAGAGACAAATAGAGGAAGTCCTAGATTGTCCGTCTTCTATCAATTTGGCATGCATACACATCTCCATAAGCCATCCTTCATCTCCAAATAAATACAACAAATAATCTGCCTAACATAATAAAATACATCCAGCATACAGCCAAACCCATGCTAACCCATTCCCCAGAAGAAAAAAATATTTTATTATTTTGGTTTTGGTGACAGAATGAGGAAGGGAGGAGGGGTTGAAGGGTGGGGAGGGGAATGGGGGGAAAAGGAATTCAGATATATTATGTACAAAAACATCTTTGAGAAGTTGAGTGAGCGGGCAACCCACTTTCCAGTCCCCCTTCTGTCTCTCTTAACGGAAGCTATCTTTCTCTCAATAAATTCTTCCTCCTCTTAAAAAATAGATATATTATGTACAAGTACAAATTCCCTATAATGAATGTGATCAAAATGTACAACAGATAAAGTACTAATAAAAAATAAAGCTTTAAAAAGCTATTAGTAATTAAAATAAATGAAGGTAAATATATTTTTTAAAAAATAAATGACACCTTCTCAAGTGATGCTAGGATAGTCAGTACATAAATACACTGCCCAAGTGACACTCATGATAAACTCTTAAGTGGTTAAATATGATACTAAAATTACAAGCAACAAAAGAAAAAAATGAATAAATTAGACTTGATCAAAATAAAAATTTGTGTGCCTTAAAGAACTCTATCAAGAGAGTGAAAGACAACCCATAGAATGGGAGAGAATATTTGAAAATAATTTATCTGATAAATATCTAACATCCATACTAAATAATGAACTCTACTGTACAACAACAAAAAATAAAGATAACCCAATTTTTAAGTTGGCAAAGGATTCAAATAGACATTTCTCCAAAGAAGACATACAAGTAGCCAGTAAGTACATGGGAAGACATTTAACACAATTAGTCATTAGAGAAGTGCAAATCAAAACCACTTGACAACACTTTACACACACTAGGATGACTAGGATTTTTTAAAAAACACGCACACAAAAAATAACAAATGTTGGTGAAAATGTGACTAACTTGGAATGTAAAAATAATGCAGCTGCTATGGAAGTTACTTTGACAAGAATTGCCACGTGCCTCAGCAATTTCATTCCTAGATATTTACACGGTGATTTAAGGCCAGCCTGAGCTACTTAATGAGACTCTGTGTCAAAAAAAAAAAAAAAAACACTTGGGGCCAGGGATTTAGCTCAGTGTTTCCGCCATCTGCCTCGCAAGTGCAAGGACCCGAGTTCAAACCCAAAAAAAACAAAACTTGTATAGACGTGTTCATAGCAACAGTATTTTGAGTGGCGCTGAATTTCTTTTTTATAATTAATTAAGTTTATTGCTCACATAATGATCACATTCATCATAAGGAATTTGTACCTGTACATAATATATCTTATTCTTATTTTTTCCCATTCCCTTACTCTCAACCCCTCTTCCCCTCTTTATTTACTAAAGCTTTGTTATTTTTAATACCCAAAAAAAAGAAACAAAACAATATCCAGTTAAAAAAATGCAATATATCCTAACAATAGCATGATTTTCAATTATATAAAGGAATGAAGGTCTGATACATGCTACAACATAAATGAACCTTGAAAGCATTATGGTACATAAATGAAGCCAATGTAAATGACCAAATATTTTATGGTTCCATTTATATGAAAAGCCCAGAGTGCGAAAATCCATAGAGATAGAAAATAAATCGAGATGCGCAAGTGCAAGGATCCGAGTTCAATCCCCGGTACCAAAAGAAAAGAAATCAGTAGTTGCTTATGTTTGGGAAAATAAAAGATTAGAGGTAACAACTAAGTGAGGTAGGAGTTTTTTGTTTTGTTTTTTGAGTTGATGAGAATGCTCTAAAATTGTATTGGATACATAATTCTGTGAACATACTGAAATCCATTTAATTGAATACTTCAGCAGGCAAATTGATATGGTTTGTGAATTGTATCTCAATAAAGCTATTTCATTGGGAGCTGTGTAAGGAAAAATAATAATGTCATTTATTTTTTTTTCTTGGTCACTTTGCCTGGGCTCTGGCTATAGTAGATAGGAATTCTTATGAGAAACTTTTGTAGCATGAAGAAAAAAATGTTATTTACCTATTTGTTGTCAAATTATCTGTTGGAAACCAAATGCCTTTCCTTGGAAATGAGCCTTCTTAACCATATATATATATATATATATATATATATCTTGGGTTACTTTTCTTTGTGGGCAAGAGGGGATTCTGCCAAAAAGTATATGGGTAACACATTTTCCAAAAGAAATAACTGAAAGACTCAAGAAAAGAAACTTGATACTCAGATTTAAATTATCCACTAAATTACATTCTGCTGTAAACTTCCCTTTTGCTATTATTCTCAAATCACCGTTAAAACTCTATTGTCTTTGCTGTTCAGTATTGAAAGCAATGACTTTTAAAGGTAGAGACTTGGTCCTGCATTTAAGTTCCTGTTGTGCCAAAGACCATGTGACAGATGCAGTGTACCAAGTGAGAACTGAGCAGAAATCAGAGCTACCAGTGGTCATAGGGACACAGCCTGTGAAATCACAGTAATCTTGCTAACGATGTGGTTGAGTAACTGAACAAATCTCATCCTGATATTAAGGGACATTGGGTTATGTACACTTGTTTTTCCACAACCAAAGTTTCTATGACTACAGGGCTGGGTAGCATTCACAGGTTATAGGACTTTGAAGTTGTCAGGAGTGTGGAATATAGATCATAAAAAATAAGCACAGTAATTGAGACAGAAAATAATATTGTCCTTACCAACAGGAATGTCATTAGTGTCATCAATATTTATTGAGCATGGCAAGGGAGAGGCATGGTTCATGGATGCTTCTGTTCAGTGATTCTTGAACCAAGCATATGAAAATTGTGATGATGACACCAGATAATTCTGGTAAGAAGACATGATAAGGAACTCTTCAAAATAGTGTTTTCAACTGCATGCCCCACCATGGCCCTTAGATAGCTTTCCACAGCCTCTAGTTTGTCCTGGATCTGAATCCTCACTCGATGGATTTTTGTTTTGTTTTGTTTTGTTTTGGTACTGGGGATCGAACTTGGGTCCTTGCGCTTGCAGGGCGGGCAGAGGAACCACTGAGCTAAATCCCCAGCCCTCGATGGATGTTTTGTAGAAGATCCAATCATAAGGTTTTCTGCAGATGAGCTGAGTATCTTTATAATTCTGCAAAGTAGAGATCAAGCAAAAGCTGGCATTTTTCCTGAGGAAAAAACTAAATGGAAAGCCAGGAAGTGCAACAGATTGGTGTTTTCATCCTGGTTCCCTGGAAGGAGCATCCAATTGATGGGGGTGAGCCCTGGGAGATGAGTTGGGGGCAGTGGTCAGAAGGCATCTGCCTGGGAACTGGTTATCTGCTTTGTAACATGTGGAAGTTGCACTTGCCAGAAGGATGAGGGACCTCCCCTAGTTGGAGATTATCAGGGTAGAGACATTCGGGGCAGTAAGGGAAAGGGTGGTTAGGGTCCTTCTCACCTGCTTCTCGAAACTACTCTTTTGTTTCCACGACTGGGAAGTTACTGGTTGGTTCCTTGTGTTTTGTGGGGCTCTCTGAAGTTGAGAAGCAGTTAGAAGAGGAAAATCTGTGCTTCTGGAGCTTCCACAACTTCCCCACACCCAGAAGCACAAGTTCCAAAAGAGTAAACAAAAGGCACAGCCCACTAATCCCAAACATTGTCCTTAGAAGGATAGTCTTCTCAGAGGGACGGGACAGACTACAGGTTATGCTGCCAAGGCAAGGATCTTGACGACACAAAAAGGAACTGGGTACCTTGAACCCATACAGATGGTACTGCCCCCCCAAGGCTGCCCCTTCAAGGACCACTCGAGCCCCCAGCTGTGCCACATAGGCCCAGAGCATCTTGTGGCTTCCAGCCCCTGAGGCATCTCTGCAGCTGTCCCCTTTACAGATCAGAGTCGCTTCCTCTGTCTTCGCCTTTCCTGGTTCTTCCCAGTGTCCAATCACATGGCACAGGGTGAACCCCACATAGAGGGCACTGGGTACAGCCACCAGGATGAGTTGGAAGGACCAGAACCGCAGTGGAGAAAGGGGGTGGAAAGCATCATAGCAGGCAGCCTTGCAGCCTGGCTGCTGGGTGTGACACACAAATTCACTCTGGTCATCACTGTAGACCCCAGGCCCACCGGCAGCCAGCAAAACAAGGCGGAATCCCAGGAGCACAGGAAGCAGGAGGCGCCCCATGAGGGTGGAGTGCTGGCTCTCTAGAGCCAACAGCTGCCTCAGGAACTTGCCACACATCCTGTTAGGAAACAGAGAACAATGATCAGTCTAGGTGTGTTGCTAATTGCTCTCCAGAGAGCCCCAGGCCACCTTGTCACTGCTAACCCAAGGACCCATAAAGTCTTTTGCCCCCTCTCCGAAGACCTGGTTGATCAAATGTATTAGTCAGCTTTATATACTTAAAATGAATTACCTGAGGCAGTTAACTTTGTAAAGAAAAGGGTTTATTTAACTCACAGTTTGGGAGATTTCAAGTCTAGAACATAGCACAGGCTTGGGAAAGTTCACCCACTGAATGCATCACTTCATGTCTTGGATGGCAAAGGCAAGGAGCATATGTTGGAGCAAATGCTCAAGTTTCCAACCCCCTGGTGGGGTGGGAGAGCTTTTACAATCCCTTTCAAGAGCATGTCCCCAAGACCTAAAGACCTCCCATTAATCCTCACCTCAGAAAAGTCCACAGCACCTCCAAATATCATAACCTGGGGACCTGAATCTTTGAAGGACATTCATCTAAACCATAGCAAATGACTGCACCTATTTATTAATTAATGGATGATCTATGTAAGATAAATAGTACAGTAGTGAATTGTGCAGGAGACTCTCTCTCTCTCTCTCTCTCTTTCCTGGCTTCCACTTCTATATTGCTGGAATGAAGAACTTTCAGCAGGGGGTCTCTGTCTTTTTTCCATCCCTCTCTCCTTTTCCCAAAGACTAATAGTAATAGCCCTGGATACTACATATTTCTGCCCTTATTTGTTGCTTCCCAGGTGATGGCTGCTACATCTGGTGACACTAACAGTGTCACCTTAACCAAATCAGTGCTAACACTGGCAGGGGACACCCGTTCTGTTGCTCTCTGCAATTCTCTTTTGCCTTCCCCTCAGGTGTTCCCATCATGCTGGTAAGATTAGCAGGCTAATCTTAGTTAGGTTAGCAGGCTAATCTTAGTTAGGTTAGCAGGCTAAATGGGATTGGGGTGAAATAAACAGGGAGTATTCAAGAGCACTTTAGTCTGATACTCTTTAGACCTTACCAGCTCAGGAACACGAGAAGATCTTGAAGGAAACACAGCCAGCAGAATTTGCTATAATTAAATGCTATTGTGCTGGAGGCTAAAGCCAGAGATGATAGGATAGAAATTCAAATTTTACTCCCCTTTGCTACTGTATTCTGGACATATATCTGCTTCACATGGTTAAGGACAAGTTTCAGAAGTTCCTCAGTTCCATCACCAAAGTCCCATCACGTTTCAAACCCAACTTTGCCGTCTTTATCTCTGTCCTAGTCAACAGCCTTCCTCAATTCCCAGCAGCTATTTCTAACCATCCCTAAACCCAAACCCAAATCCTTACACACTTAGCTCTTCTCAATCCCAAAAGACCCTGTGCTATGGCCTGAATATTAGTGTGCTCCCAAAATCTGTATGTGGGAACTTAATATCCAGGATGATAGTATTAAGAGATGGAACCTTTAGATCATGAGGGCACAGCCCTCATAAATGGGATTAGTGTCATTATAAAAGAGGCTTGAGGGAGCCTTTCCCTCTCTTCCACCATGTGAGGACACTAGAAGGCACAATCTATGAGAAACAGGCCCTTACCAGACACCATGTCTGCTTGTGCCTTGATCTTGGACTTCCCTACCTCTAGAACTGAAAGAAATCAATGTTTATGTTACTCAATCTAAGGTATTTTGTTATAGCAGCCTGAGAAGACTATGACAAAACACTATGCATCTTGTTCCACAGAAGGAATAAGAGATTCTAGTGTGTAACCCTACAGCTACTGTGTTATCTTCACATTCATTTCTTTATCTAACATCTTAGAAAAAGAAATGACCCTACATTTGTCCAAGGCTACTACCCCTTCCAAACCTATGTCCTTGGATCTCTCCTGCTTCTTCAAGAGTTTGATCCCCAAATTCTCTTCCTTATAATTTAGACCCCTCCTTGTTATTTCCTCTTCAGCTATGAATATGACCCTTTAACCCTAAAAACAACTATTTAGGTCTCTAAGTTGACATAGCAGAAATAACCATGCCTAATTTGTCTCATATCAGTTTCTCAATTATAATACTGAGTAATATGCATAAAACAACTTTAAATGGGAATTAGTATTGTAAACTATACATGAGAACAAGCCATATACCATGGCATAGGGAGAATTATTACTTCTGAGTAGTTAGAAGTGATGGACTAGGAGGCTTTCAAGGACATTCTAAGGTACTTAATGGACCAGAGAAATTTGTCACTATCTACCAGCTATGATGGAACTATATTTTGAGCCCCTAGAAGCCAGACTTCCCTCAGTACCTATCTTTCTACTTCTTTCACAGACTGTGATATATATGATAAATATATTTCAGAGGCATATCAGACCACTAAATTTCTCTATAAAAATTAATTAAAAGGATGGGGATTTAGCTCAGTAGCACCGTGCCTGCCTCACAACCTCAAGATCTGAGTTAAATCCCCAGTACTGAAAAAAAAAAAAAGTTAAAAATTTTAGGACCAATTTTCAATCTCTAGAAAGACACAAAATTAGTCTCATAATTAAAGTTAGAGATTGTAGTTATTTCCAAGATTCTTTAAAATTTGAGACTAGATTTTTAAATATATAAAAATAGAATAGAAATATCATCAATATAACACAATTAAAATCCACCTTGAAAGCAATGTATCAGATTCTGAGGAAAGTCAAATTGGGATACTCAGAAACATACTTGAGAAGCTGTTTAGAATTGACAGGAAGAAAATAAATAGTGAATGTTGCAAAAGGTAAACAGATACAGAACACACCTGTTTTTTTAATGTGAAAATCAAGATAATAACAAAACAAAATCACTACAGGCTGAACATCCCTAACCAAATGTCTACAATCCAAAATGCTCCAAAATCCAAAACTACGTCCCAACAAGTCATCAGAAGAGGAAAATTTCACACCGGACCTCATATGACACATGTCACGGTCAAATGCAGCTACCATAGAAATATTGTATAAAATAATCTTCAGGCTATGTGTATAAGACATATATATGAAATTGATCAAAATACACAATGATGAATTTTTTAACTTATTACAGTAAAAGACACATTGCCACTAATACCCCTCAGAATCCTCCACCTCATATCCCATTGTTCTTGCCACTTTCTAAAGCAGTTCTGGGAGTCTTCTTTCATGAGTGTCTTTAGTTGCACTGTTGCAGGTGACTTGATGTCCTGAATCAATTCAAAACACTTACCTTTCATGGTCATTTTGACTTTGAGGAAGAGCCAGAAATCACACAATGCCAGATCCAGTGAATAATGTGGATGAAGACACACCATAACATTTTTATTTGACAAAATTACCATAAACATTTCATTAATGAGGAGTGATCAATAACTGCAATAGATTTTTTAATTTAAATTACAATAAAAGACACACCACCATTAATCCCACTCAAAATACTCCTCCCTGCTTCAAAAACATCTATCTCATCATTTTTTGGCAATGTGTCTTTTACTGTGATAAGTGCATAGGTTTTTGTTTTTTTGTTTTTGGTACCAGGGATCAAACTCAGATCCTTGCGCTTGCAAGGAACACTGAGCTAAATCCCCGGCCCAAGTGCATAGGTTTTTAAAAATTTAACAATTCATCATATTCTTTGATCACTCTTTGTATGAAACATAAGTACATTTCATGCTTACAGTTGGGTCCCATGCCCAAGAAATCTCATTATTTATACACAAATATTCCAAAAATCAAAAGAAAACAGATTTCTAAAGGTTTCTGGTTTCAAACATTTCAGATAAGGGATATTCAACCTGTAGCTTACTTAGAAGGAGAGAAAGCACTTAGCATATCAGTGCCTGAGGAAAAAGTAACTTCTCAATAAATGTTGACTACATTTGGGGGGTTGCTTTTGAGCTCTACAGAGAATCAAAAGAAAGGTCAAGTTCTAGTTTTAAGTGTCTCAACCTTGGCATTACTGACATTTGAAACCAGTAATGCTTTGTCTGGGGTGGGTGCTGTTCTGTGGGATACAGTATTTCCCAGCACTCCCAGGCTCTCCCCACTAAACATCAGCAGCACATTTCTCCCCTCCTGCCCACATGTGACAACCAAAAATGTCTCCAGACACTGCTAAATGACCTAGGTGATAAATTCACCCTGATTTGAGAAGTACTACTTCAGGGTAGCACTGGCTAGCACGCTCTCCACTCTCCGCCCCGGTGGCCAGCTCTGTAAGACAAGGTGTCTGGCACAGAGCTTCTCAAGGAGCTTCTGTAGCTTTCCATTTCCTAAGTCTATGACAATCAGCCCATCTTCCAGGTGGGCCTCACCTCCTCCTTCAATCAGCCCCCATCCCACTGCACAAGTCCTCAGCGTCCCTGGATTCAGGGGAGGAAGTCCCAGGGTGCTGACAGCTTCTTCCCTGGCTTTTTTGAGAGTAATCAGACTAAATGCTAAATTTGATAACTCTTAAATTCTTACTCTCAGCCTCATCTTATTCCAAAGCATAAGCCCAGCACCCTCTAGACACATTCCCAGCAGACCTAAAAAGGGACCGGCCTGGCATATTCCAGGGATCAAGGATTCGAGTACTTTATAGAGTCTTTATCTCTAGATCCCCTGCCTCACCCGCTTTCTGGAGCCCGCACCAGACACTCGGATGTTCTCTCAGAGGCTCTCGGGACTGAGCTCACCACAGAGCTCTTGCCTGAGAACTCTGGTTTGGAGGCCCCATATCTAACACTAAGCACCTTTCCTTGTCCTGAGCCCCTGAAACTGTCATCAAAACAACACCTATTCTGCCCATAACCTGGATCTCCTGGAGAGTTCAGACATGTTCTGTTCCCCAAAGTCTTCAGACAGACTAAAAGGAGTTTCCTATACAACAGCCTTTCATCCTCCTTTCTGCCTGCTTTCCTCCAACTCTGTGGTCTTCCCTGCCTGATCCCACTGTTCCAGCCCACCTGTCTCATTCCCTGAGATTGACACCCTCCTCTTGCAGAGATGTTACAGCTTTGCCCCACAGGTACTAGGGCTCCTAGGCTGAACACCAAGGCCTTAGGAGCTAAGGCAGAAAAGGAAGGGAAGCTACTACCCAGCTCCCTTGATGAGCTCACTCTGAGGGACAATGTTCTGTTTCTAACAATGGAAGCACCGTTTTCAAATAAGTTTGTCTGGGAGTTGGCAGGATATGAGCTTTATCAAGATTTGAGACAATGAAGCAATATCTATGAGCTCAAGAGTCAGAAGAGTAAAGAAAGCTTGGAGTGTGAGTAGATTTTCAAATATCTAAAACAGATTTTTTAATTCCATCATGATTTTGATAAGAATTTTACCAAACATCACATATTCTTATGAAGAAAAAATGTCAGGATTCTGTTGGTGGCAGAATCCATCCCAGAGAGTTAAGGGATGAGGGAGGGAATGTCCAGAGGGAGGGCAGGACCTATCAGTGCAAACCAGGGCTTACTGCTCCCATCGTAACCCCACCTGGCCTGGATAACATTCTAAATGCTTCTATTCAAAGCGTGGCCATGAATATCATCAGGAATGCAGAATCTCGGGACACATTCCTAACTCCTAGATCACATTTGAATTGCAGTAATATCACCAACTGACTCATGGGGTCAGATTTGAGAAGCTGCTCTAGAGCCCAGGGAAGTCCCTGCCACCACCAGCAGCAGTCCCTGAGCCAACCTGGCTGCCCCAGGCCCATGCACTCACTTACACTCACCTGGCAGCTCTGAATAGAAGCTCCAACCACAAGGGAAAGAGGTAGAAGCGTCAACCACAAAAGAGAAGAGTCCTTAGATTGGTAGCCCACAGGGTCCTAGCTCTTGCCCTGGCCCTGCCTCCTACTGCCACCCACTTCTTTCCCCTCCCCTTTTCATTCCTGGCAGCCTCAGTGCAGGGTAAAAAAAAAATTGCAATTGGAGGAGCAGCCACCACTCATCTACTGGTCTCCCATCTCTTGGCTTTTTGATTTATCTTGGAACACATGAAAGCCCAACCTCAGCTAGGCTTGAGATATGGGAGTCAGCACTTTCACATCTTCCTCTTGAGGACAACTCACAACATCTCCCCAAAGATACTGTCTCTCCAAAGTTTTGACAACTATAACATTTTATACAACACTGACACAGGTATAGGGTTTAAGAGTGGCATGACCTGTTTATGTGCTTGTTTTTTTCTCTGAAGCGTTACATTTCAGACTTGCACATCATTTTGGAACATTGTATGTACTGTATTTTTTAAGCATTGAGTCTCGACATCCCAGCCAAAAATTTTACACTTACTCTCCTGTTTCACCAACATTGTTCAGAGCTTAATAAATAATAAATAATGGATCTTCTAAATGTTGCATGGGTATTTACTCACTACTGATAATACCTGTATGAGATAAGAACTGGTATCTCCTTTTGAAATGAAGAATGAAGGTACTAAGTAACTTATTCAAGGTAACCAGCTAGTGAGTGGACACTTTAGAATTTAAGCAAACTGGGTCGGGGATTTAGCTCAGTGGCACCGTGCCTGCCTCGCAAGCGCAAGGTCCTGAGTTCAATCCCCGGTACCAAAAAATAAATATAAAAATAATTGTTAAAAATCATAAAAATCCTCTATTTACATATTCCATAGCTTAATGATAAGTTCACTACCCATTCTATATACCAACCAAACACTGGGCTAGTATCACTGACAACTTCCTGCTCACTGACCACATCTTATCCCTATACTTATTGTACAAATGCTGCCACAAATTCAAAACAGAAGTACATCGTCCTAGCGTCCCTCCTCCAGCTTTGTTGGCCTGCAGTCGACTGTCCACATTGCAGACAGAATATTTAACTCAATTCTTGTTTAGATGTGCCAACTTGTTTACTAATTTATTTGCTTAACATTGCCTCTTGAATTCCATACCTTTTTTTCCTAGGTTAAATTTTCTTCCCTGAATAGGTGCTAAACCTTCAATAAAGAAAAGCAAGGTCAGTAATAGCATAAGACATCAAGAGAAGCTAACTGATTCTCCAGGAAAGGAGGGAAGGTGATCAAAAGGGGACTCGGAGACTTTTATAAACCTGGCAGTGTTTGACAAAGATTCTCTGCTGGACCAAACTTGGGCTCCTGAAACCTTCTCATAGATCTACCTGTGCACTTCCTTGTAAAATAATGCTTTGGGAGCCTAGGTAAATGAAGTTGGCAAGAACTCCCACTCTTCATATTTGATGGGCTCCTCATCCTCCATCCTCCACCCTGGGTGATATCTGATCACCCTGGCCTACCTTCAGCAAGGTGAGTTTTAGAAATCTCTGAGGTCCTCTCTGAGTCATTTCCCATCCCCCATCCCCACCGTGCATCTTGACTATAAATCCCCACTTGCCTGTGCTGCATTTGGAGTTCTCAGTCTCTCCCCCACAATAAAATCCCATCATAATGGTTTCTCTACCTATGCCATCATCCCCTCACCTTGAATAAAATCTTCCTTACTGTGCTTTAACAAGTGTTATTGATTTTTTTCTTTTACGTGTTCTATTTCTTTCTCTTTTTTTTGGTACCAGGGATCAAACTCGGGGCCTTGCACTTGAGAGGTAGGTGGTAGAACCACTGAGCTAAATCCCCAGCCCTATGTTCTATTTCTTAATTTGAGTCATGTATATATGTACAAGTCTCTGAATTAAAATTATTTGCTAAATGGCGCATTTAATTTTTATATAGCTTCCTCTATATTTATTATTTTTCACTATAAAAGGAAAAAAGAGGAAAGAAGAAAGAGAGAAAAGGCCCCGAGAGATGAAGTATCCTTCCCAAGGTTGCACAGCAATTCTCCTGACCTAAACTTTTGGGTCTTTTCTCCTCCCCTGAGGATGACTCAGAACTGGACATGCAGGTGTCTTTTAAGCTGATGGGCTGCACATAATACAACATTAGACTGTTCCCTTCACTCTCCTAGAAAGTTAGGAGGGTTAGAAGTTAGCTAGGGCTAATGAGGACACAGACACAGGGCAAGGCCTAGAGCATCTAACAGCCCTCTTTCTGATTGAAATCGAGGTGTTAAGGCAAACCTAATTTATCCTGTGAGTCATCCACATAGCTTGGTGGGCCGCTGAGAGCTCTGCACTCCTAGTCTCTGCTTCCAAACATCTCCTCCCTGGTCTGCTAGAGATCTAAACCCAAACACAGGGAATTGAACATTGCCCACCCAAGGCAGTCTTTTGTAATAACTCCTCCAGGAAAAAGTAAAGAAGACTAGCTAAGATGTGCCAGATGTTTTTCCTAGCACTTGTCAAATACTAACTCATGTGACCCTCATGACAATCCTAGGAAGTAGGCATTCACATTATCCTCATGCTATAGATGAGTAAGGAAACTAAAATAAAAAGGTGACATCTTTGTAAAAGACTCTTAAATAGTGAGAGGAAGAGGCAGAATGGAACCAAGGATGGTTCCAGAGTCAGGTTCCCCCCTCCCCTCTGCTAAACCACTTCTCAGGGAGGTGTCAGTGAGTCAGGTGCATTCAGGACATTTTTGCGCATGGTATGTGACCATATTCTTAGAAACCAAGAGCTGTGACCCCGCCATTCGAGGCCACACAGATGGTCCAACCAGAGTGACCAAAGTCCTTGTCCAAAAGTCTGCAGTGGGGGTGTAAAGTAGGGAGATGCACAGGACTCAGGGAATAGGGACATTTTTCAAAGTTGCATGAATTTCTCCTGATTCCTCAATAGGCCCATTTATAAAGGTCCACAATCCGGGTCAGTGTGGGTATCAGAGGCAGGCTAAGGTTGTTCCCGGGGGCTGAAGGGAGGGGAGCTCTGTTTAATTATATGTAAGCTGCTGCCAAGACACTGAAGCAGCAAGACAAACTTCTCTTTCACAGTAGCTTTCTGGGGATTGGTGCCAAGAAAGAAGCCCCAAGGGTAAAGAGAGGTCTCATTCCACTTCTTTATTCTACCAACAATGCCCTCCTTGTCTCTTGTCTTCCCACCAGATGAAACCAGCCTCCTCCTACAGCCATATGTTGACAATGTGTGCCAGGACCCAGAGCAGCCAGGCAGCTCAAGGGCGAGCATCAAGTAAGGGTCAGGAGTGGAAAGAACTATGGCAAAAAGTCTGTCCCTCCCTTCCCCATAGCTAGGTGAATCGCTCTGATTTTAGGTACAGTGAGAGACACACGGAACAATGGTTGAGGAGGGATCAGCAGAAGGAAAGTGTCAGAACTACCAGGAAAATGCCACCCCCATAGACCTGGATGCAACCACACTGGGCCTGGGACACTATGTGACCATGAGAGAAAGGAGCCGAGCCACGCTAGTCCTGGGCCAATTGTCACACAAATCTTGGGATACTATACACCAAAGAATTCTTAAGATTGTGCAGGTTTTTAATCTATATCATGGGTAAAAGGGTCAGCAAGTGTTTCTCGGCACTATTGCAGAAAGTAGACTTAGCAACGAGTTCAACTCAAAGAATTGGTGAAACTCTTAGGGAGGCTGATGCAGGAGGATGGCAAGTTTGAGTCCTATCTGAGAAACTTAGCAAGACCCTGTCTCAAAAGAAAAAAATTAATTAATTAATTAAAGGACTTGAGGTGTAGTGTAGTGGCAGAGCAACCCTAGGTTCATTCCCAGTACTGAGGGGGGAAAAAAGAACCAGTGATACAGAAGCATCATTCAGTTTTACTCCCTGCTAATCCTTTCTTCTTGACTTTCTGGATTCTGCAGTAAATTCTCCTTCCTGAAATTTCTGCATACAAGGCAAGACCTGCTGCTCCTGTGAGCGTGCAGCGCCGGGAGGCTAAAAGGAAGAAAAGACTTAACATCAGGCTGGAATGGGCAGCTGTTGATCTTTCTTGACCCCTTCAGCCGCATGGTGGGCTCCAGAGCTGATCCAACATCTGAAAGTTCTCTCCACTTTTGCAGGCCTTTATTCTGTGGCATTCCCTTCACCAGACTGTCCAAGCCCCATGAAGTTCTCCCTGTTTTTTCAAGTTACAGCCCATGCCAATGATGAGGTCTTCCTCTTCTACAGCTGTAAAAGCAGAAAAACTAAGCCCCTGGACTCTATAGCCAGATGGTGGGAATGGAGAATAGGAAGGGAGCCAAGTTCAGAAAACCAGAAAGGAAATCCTCATGGTGACCTTGAAAGGCATCATGGACTTTCCAAAGACAGATAAGGCCAATGGATTCAGAGTTGTGATTGCAAAATGAGGATGTGCTGTTTTCATAAGTATGTGGGGCAGCCCCCAAGTGAGCATGCAAAAGAGTGTTAGCAGGAAGAAAGCATCAGAGACCCAAAGAAATGTAGGAATCCAACTGACGTGACTATACCCATCTTGGTCATACCCTCCTGTCTTATCCACTTTCCTGTTGCTGCAATAAAATACCCAACACTCACAACTTAAAAAAGGAGAGATTAATTTTGGCTCACGGCTTCAGTCCATTGTTGGCTGGCTCCAAGGCAGAAACAGGATGGTGGAAGGGGCTGGCAGAAGAAAAGCTGTTCTACCCATGGCAGCCAGGAAGCAGAGAGAGAAGGAAGAAGCCAGGAACAAGAATGCAACCTTCCAGGCCCTACCTTCTAGCTACTCCAGTAATGAGTATATCACTCCCATGATCTAATCACCTTCCATACACATGAGACTTCTGGGGGATATTTTAGATCTAAACCATAATACCATCATTTTGCCCACAGGTGACCCTGGCACACATCCCCAGCCCTATGGGACAAAGACCTTAAGATAGGCAGCTGAGAATACTGGGCTCACTGCTGACACCTGGGCTGTTTCCTAACTGCTGGTGGACATGTTAATCGTGTCTCACAAAGACCAGGCACCTTCCCATTGGCCACCCTTTGTCTAGCTT